CCGTATCACTATACTTTTCATATAATAGACATAATTTTATAAGTCAAATAGTGAAATTAATATTACTAACTTCAAAATTGAAGTTCTAACTTTAAAAACTGTTAGCTAAAATAATGTTGTGATTATTAATGTTTAGGTTATTCTGGTACAAGCAGTAAATTATCTAAGGACAATAAAATTTGATACAGAATGACTATTAGAGTAAAGCTTAGTAATTATTAGTTTTGTTGAATGTTGACTATTTTGCATTTGGAATGATATGTGGCTTTTATGGCTTTGAGAATTCTTCTACAATTTACCTGTGTTCTTTCATTTTGCTTTTGTTCAAGTTTGAATTATTAGTTTATCTATTTCTTACCAAAAAGGTGCGCCTCACCTTGCGCCTACGCCTGAATCTGGCGCCTTGGTGTGCCTTGAGCATTTAAAATCACTGGACAGCCACTATGGATAATGACTGCATGAATGTAACTTTTTCTTCTCTAAAAGGTTAACTTAGTTTAAGTCAAAGTAAGACGATTTCCAAAAATCAGATGTTTCTTGGGTTTATTTCTGTGTGTTGTATATTTCAGTACTCCCTAGTCTAATTACATCGTGTGGTTTAAATCTATTTTCTATGAATTACTTGGTAATTACAATGTATGTTGTTTATTTTGTGTGGTACAATTTCATATATTTTTGGATCTTCAAAAGTAAGATCTGTATCTACCACTGAAGTTGCATTTCCTCAAAAGTGAACTGTTTGTGTTCTCTGTCTTTTCTTTAATAATTGAGAGTTGTCTGGTTTTCAACCTGAAAATTGATTGGTTCTTTTCAAAAAATTCATTATATCATACTATTTCATATGCCTATCCTGGTTAATGAATGGAAAAAAAAGTACTTTTGCATGTATTCCTTAGTTTTTGACAATTCCATGTGAAATAATGAATACCTGTGCAACTTGACTTCAACATTTGTAAATTGAATATTATGTCTGTTGATTTAGTTATTTGGCTTCATTCATCTACTTGAAATTTCCCCTGGTTTCTATGGTCAGGTTGTTGCTAGTTTATCGAAAATTTATCCAAAGGTTATGGAAGCTCCTGCTGGTGGAGTCGATGACATGACTAAGCTATCATATTTGCATGAGCCTGGAGTTTTGCAGAATTTGGCACTGAGATATCAGACCAATGAAATTTATGTAAGACTGTCTTCACCTTTAGTTTATGATATTAGTTAATTAATGTTCACCCTGGTGAGAGAAATCAATGAATTAATGCAGCTATGGATGGCTCTGTCATAATATTCTATCGTACTCTGAAATTATGACAGACTTATACTGGAAGTATTCTTATTGCCATTAATCCATTCCAAAGACTGCCTCATCTATATGATGGTCACATGATGGAACAATACAAGGGAGCACCATTTGGGGAACTGAGTCCTCATGTTTTTGCTATTGCTGATGTTGCTTATAGGTAGGTAACCTTTTATTTTGTCTATTTTCTATGTTCTTTTTTGAAGGATGATTCATATAGTTTACTAAATTGCTTGAAATGATTCAGGGCAATGATCAATGAGGGCAAAAGCAACTCCATTCTGGTCAGTGGTGAAAGCGGGGCTGGTAAGACAGAAACTACTAAAATGCTCATGCGGTACCTTGCCTTTATGGGTGGTCGTAAAGGCACTGAAGGAAGGACTGTTGAGCAACAAGTTCTAGAAGTAAGATGGATGATCTAACTCTAGTTTTATGCTTGTTAAAGTTTAAATGGTCAGCGGTGCTTGTCCTGCCAAGAATCGTGTAAATGTCTTGGGACTTATTTTTTGAGGTTCAAACTCTGCAACATGGTCTGTGTATTGATGTCTATCATGGACAGTGGCAGAGCCAGAAATTCAACATAGAGGGGCACATATTAATCACAACTTTGAAATTGTTTTCCCCATAAAAAGCAACAACGAGATATTATTAAACTTATACAAATTTTTCTTCTTCTTTTTGGTCTATCTGTGAGATACAATATTACAATTATCATGAGAATTACATCAACATGGCTTATAAATCCACAATCAACAACCCAATTCTATTAACCCAACAATAGGGAGAAATAACCAACACAATTAACAAGCCCCCCCTATCAACTGAACAAAGAGCTTCACAATGGGAAGAAACAACCAACTAAACAAATCCCATAATGAGAAAGAAATGATCAATTGATTCAATTCTTGCCCTTGGCCTCCAGTTAAGAGTGTGCAAGAATGGCCAAAAGAATAGAATAGGACACTTTTAAAATGAAAAAAACACAGAGGAATTTTACATGATTTAAGGAGGGGCACAATTACAATTTTATGGGGGGGGATAAACAAGATATAATCTTTATGTATAATAGGGGTATTAGTGTAAATATTAAAAGTTGAAATGGGGCACATGACTCCTCTGGCTCTATACTAGATCCACCCCTGATCATGGATATGAGGTTTTTTTGTGGCGACCTCCAAAATCATGAGCACTGGCTTTGCTGTGCAGGTCTTCAAGGAAAAAATATGGATTTCCTTCTCGCCGAACAAAATATTATCTGTCTCTTTTTACTTATATTTCATGTTGGAGGTGCACTTATGATGAACATGTCTTACACATGCTTCAAACATAAAAAATAAGGTTTAATTGATAGAATTAAGAATTGAGTTATTCTAACTAGCATGTTTTGATATATGAAAGATTGTCATTAGTAAAAGAAGAAAACATATGTACAGGACCCATGTTGCTGTAATGGTGTGATAAAGCTATAGATCAACAAAATTATAGCCCTAAGCCTATTTCCAAATTCTGAGGTCCAAGCTCTACAAGATATAAATAAATGAACACTTTTAAACAGATGGACGCCATGTCAGCAATCGAACTCTATGCCATATTGTCCCTTGCTCAATTTATATAAAGAATTCTTCCCATGTCAGTCGGGACTGTTATGTGGCCATAAGAGACTTTTCCATGAAATAATAGAAATCCTGTACCCTGCAAAACCAACAAGGAATGAACTTGCATGATGTATTTACTTTAGTTTTTTCCATCCTCAATCTGCTCAGATTTTTTTTCATAAGAGTATGAAACTCAATTCAACCCAACAAATCCTAATTGTACCAAAGGACGGTAGCATGTAAGTAGATAATTGACAGAATCTGGCTTAGATGGAGGACTCTGGTCAGAATTAGTTTGTTTTGTCAATATCATATAGCCCACTGTGGGGGAGCTAATGTTCTTGAATATTTGAACATTTTCAAGGCTTTGGTTCATGTTATTTATTTGAAAGCAGATGATGCAGGATATGAAGATGCCAGATTGAGATTTCGTGTTTATATGCATATGATTTGCAGAATATTTATCCTCCTTTAGGATTTATTCTATTTAGCTTTCTAACCTTTGCCTATCTGAAGCTCATGTTTTATCAACTAAATGCAGTCAAATCCAGTTCTTGAAGCATTCGGCAATGCAAAAACTGTTCGAAATAACAATTCCAGGTGAGATTTTTCAGTCATTCTGTGAACCTTCTCTAATTATTTCACGTACATAAGCACAATGCATTTTCCAGAATTTGTTGGCGTTTTCTTATTGATTGATCATGTAATCATATTTATTGGAACAGCCGTTTTGGTAAATTTGTCGAGATTCAATTTGATAAGCATGGAAGAATTTCAGGAGCAGCCATTAGAACTTATCTTCTTGAGAGATCTCGTGTCTGTCAAATTTCAGACCCAGAACGGAATTATCATTGTTTTTACCTTCTTTGTGCAGCACCACCAGAGGCAGGTTTTTCACTGTATCTTCTTTCATATTGTTCATCCCTTTGATGAAAAACTTTTAAATTTATAGTCAAAAAACATTATTTTTAATAGTCTTCAAATCTCACAGGAAGTTGCGAAATACAAGTTGGGAGATCCTAAATCATTTCACTATCTTAACCAATCAAATTGCTATGACCTCGTTGGTATAAGTGATGCTCATGATTATCTTGCCACTAGGAGAGCTATGGATATTGTTGGAATCAGTCAGAAAGATCAAGTATAGCCTTTGTATCCAAAAATGTGTTTGCCATATTTCCACATTTTTTTTAATAACTCCATAGAGTAAAATTGGAAAAACTTCTCTGTTTCTGTCAGGATGCAATTTTCAGAGTTGTGGCTGCAATTCTTCATCTTGGTAATGTTGAATTTACTAAGGGGAAAGAAATTGATTCTTCTGTTTTAAAAGATGACAAATCCAAATTCCATCTTCAAACGGCAGCAGACCTTCTCATGTGAGACTAGCCTTGATATTTTTGTTTTTATGGTTGATATCTGTATAAGTTAATTTAATCCTTATTTCAGGTGTGATCTTGGTGCATTGGAAGATGCACTGCTAAAGCGTGTAATGATCACCCCAGAAGAAGTTATCAAGAGAAGTCTTGATCCTGTTCAGGCAACAGTTAGCAGGGATGGTTTAGCTAAGACAATATATTCCCGTTTGTTTGACTGGTAAGATATGGGAGTTTGGATTATTGTTTTCACTTTCATGACTGTCTCTGGATTTTGTTTTAACTAAGCGTGTGATGCTAAAGCTGACTGATTTTTGTGATATGCAGGTTAGTTGATACAATTAATGTTTCAATTGGACAAGATCCTAACTCGAAATCCTTGATTGGGGTCCTTGACATCTATGGTTTTGAAAGCTTTAAGACTAATAGGTATATGATTGATAATTGGAGAAGTATGATGCAGTGATAAAATTAGCTACTACTTTGGTGACTCAGTTATTTTGACTCAAGATTTAATATGATCATGGGTGCAGTTTTGAGCAATTTTGTATTAATTTCACAAATGAGAAGCTGCAGCAACATTTCAACCAGGTATAATGTTCATCATATTTAATAACATCTTGTAATTCACATCCTTGACTTACACTCAAAGCATTGTTGTATCGTTCAGCATGTGTTCAAGATGGAGCAAGAAGAGTACACAAAAGAGGAGATCAACTGGAGCTATATAGAATTTGTTGACAATCAAGATGTCCTGGATCTTATTGAAAAGGTTCACCTCTTTAATCTAGTATTTTTTTTTTTTTTTTGTCATTTAATGATTGCATGTACTTGTGTTTTTTTGGCTATATTTATTCTTTGGTAATCTTGCATACTTTGGGCCTAGCTTATAAGCAGGGAACTTTAGCTTGATGGGGTATTTACTTCCTGCTAATATGAAAGTACTTAGTGAGGTTTCCATCCAGTTCTAGTGTTTCCAGAGATACAAGCATACTTGAAGACAACTTGGCTAAGGGGTCTATTCTTCATCTAATTGGTAGGCAACATAAAATATATTTGTATGTAGAAAAATGTTGAAATCTGGATTTTTTTAGTGATACATGTGCCAATATTTGTTATTTGTCACTAAACAAGGGCATGCATTTTGCCAGTGAAAGAGTAAATTGCTTGTCTAACAAAGGGAGCTTCTTAGGAGCATGAGCCTCCTCTACACTACAACGGGTGTGCTAGTAACCATATGTAAAGCCCTCCCAAAAAATATTAAAATCCATTCTTCTTGCAGTTAAAAACCATTGCTAGATGCTTGAATATCATAAGATGATTTGATCCCAAACTGTTGTGGCGGCACTTTTATGAAATGAAGTATGGCAAGTAGTTTTGCAACATGATGTGCTGTTCTCCTTCTGGTTTTTTCTACCAAGTCACTGACCAAGAAATGCATAATTAATTTTAGGCTTCGTTTGGCAATAGGCTAATTTAGCTAAAAAGCCAATAAAAAAGCCCAAAAGTCAAAGATTCTTTCCTATTCTCTTTTCTTTTTGCACGTTTTTTCTATAAAAAGCCAAAAAATCATTCCCAAACACTTCGGTTGCGTTTGGTAGAGTTTTGTAAATATGATTTGAGAGTATGAGTTGTATTTTGAGTTTGTGAGCTAAGCATGGAAGAATTTCAGGAGCAGCCATTAGAACTTATCTTCTTGAGAGATCTCGTGTCTGTCAAATTTCAGAGCCAGAACGGAATTATCATTGTTTTTACCTTCTTTGTGCAGCACCACCAGAGGCAGGTTTTTCACTGGATCTTCTTTCATATTGCTCATCCCTTTTATGAAAAACTCTTAAATTTATAGTCAAAACATTATTTTTAATAGTCTTCAAATCTCACAGGAAGTTGCGAAATACAAGTTGGGAGATCCTAAATCATTTCACTATCTTAACCAATCAAATTGCTATGACCTCGTTTGTATAAGTGATGCTCATGATTATCTTGCCACTAGGAGAGCTATGGATATTGTCGGAATCAGTCAGAAAGATCAAGTATAGCCTTTGTATTCAAAAATGTGTTTGCCATATTTCCACATTTTTTTTAATAGAGTAAAATTGGAAAAACTTCTCTGTTTCTGTCAGGATGCAATTTTCAGAGTTGTGGCTGCAATTCTTCATCTTGGTAATGTTGAATTTACTAAGGGGAAAGAAATTGATTCTTCTGTTTTAAAATATGACAAATCCAAATTCCATCTTCAAACGGCAGCAGACCTTCTCATGTAAGACTAGCCTTGATATTTTTGTTTTTATGGTTGATATCTGTATAAGTTAATTTAATCCTTATTTCAGGTGTGATCTTGGTGCATTGGAAGATGCACTGCTAAAGCGTGTAATGATCACCCCAGAAGAAGTTATCAGGAGAAGTCTTGATCCTGTTCAAGCAACAGTTAGCAGGGATGGTTTAGCTAAGACAATATATTACCGTTTGTTTGACTGGTAAGATATGGCAGTTTGCATCATTGTTTTCACTTTCATGATTATGTCTCTGGATTTTGTTTTAACTAAGCGTGTGATGCTAAAGCTGACTGATTTTTGTGATATATAGGTTAGTTGATACAGTTAATGTTTCAATTGGACAAGATCCTAACTTGAATGATATACAGTTAGCAGGGATGTTTCAATTTTAGTTGATACTGATTTTTGTATTAATTTCACAAATGAGAAGCTGCAGCAACATTTCAACCAGGTATATATAATGCTCATCATATTTAATAACATCTTGTAATTCACATCCTTGACTTCCACTCAAAGCATTGTTGTATCATTCAGCATGTGTTCAAGATGGAGCAAGAAGAGTACACAATAGAGGAGATCAACTGGAGCTATATAGAATTTGTTGACAATCAAGATGTCCTGGATCTTATTGAAAAGGTTCACCTCTTTAGTCTAGTATTTTTTTTTTTGTCATTTAATGATTGCATGTACTTGTGTTTTTTTGGCTATATTTATTCTTTGGTAATCTTGCATACTTTGGGCCTAGCTTATAAGCAAGGAACTTTAGCTAGATGGGGTATTTACTTCCTGCTAAAGTGAAAGTACTTAGTGAGGTTTCCATCCAGTTCTAGTGTTTCCAGAGATACAAGCATACTTGAAGACAACTTGGCTAAGATGTCTATTCTTCATCAAATTGGTAGGCAACATAAAATATATTTGTATGTAGAAAAAAGTTGAAATCTGGATTTTTTTAGCGATACATGTGCCAATATTTGTTATTTGTCACTAATAAGGGCATGCATTTTGCCAGTGAAAGAGTAAATTGCTTGTCTAACAAAGGGAGATTCTTAGTAGCATGAGCCTCCTCTACACTACAACGGGTGTGCTAGGAACCATATGTAAAGCCCTTCCAAACAATATTAAAATCCATTCTTCTTGCAGTTAAAAACCATTGCTATATCATAAGATGATTTGATCCCAAACTGTTGTAGCAGCACTTTTATGAAATGAAGTATGGCACGTAGTTTTGCAACATGATGTGATGTTCTCCTCCTGGTTTTTTCTACCAAGTCACTGACCAAGAAATGCATAATTAATTTTAGGCTTCGTTTGGCAGTAGGCTAATTTAGCTAAAAAGCCACTAAAAAAGCCAAAAAGTCAAAAGATTCTTCCGTATTCTCTTTTCTTTTTGCATGTTTTTTCTATAAAAAGCCAAAAAGTTATTCCCAAACACTTAAATTTTTTTATCTCATATCTTAGCCAAAAAGACTCTAAAAAAAGTCACTTCCCAAACCAACCCTTAAGAAGCTTATAACCTAAAATTGTTTTAGTTAGTTGCTTAGCATTTTAAGTATGTTCTGGAAGTTTCTGTTACTGCTTCTATCTACCACTTGTGTTAGACTCTTAGGGGATGTTTGGCATGGGCTAAAAAAAGCTACTTTTTGGCTAAATAAACCAAAAGACAAAAAAAGTCTGTCTTGAACTTAAAAAAGTTACTAAAAAAAGGTAAAAAATCCAACATTTCTACTAACAAAAAAGAATATTTTTTTGTAATTACCAGCCGCATCAGCTTTTTAAGGTTCTAGAAAAGCAAATAAGCAACTAAAAAAAAAATTGCTAAATTCGACCTTAGTAGCATAAACTCCTATGGGGGCCTCACTCCTTCCTCTAGAAGCTTGTTAACACCACCACGCTCACTCTTAACCGGTTGAGTCTCTTTGGTTTGTTGGTTTGCATTGCACTTGACATCAAATGCACACACGTGGTCCCTTGGGCCACCATGTATGGAAATACGTGATTGATGGTCCGAAAACCAAGAAGCATGTCCCTTTGGGTCACTAACATGATAAGGGACATGATTGGTGCATACATTGCTTGAATTGTATTGCCATGCTCTGCCTTGCCCTCTGTTGCTGTCAATTGCAGATTCTGCAGGAACTTTCTGTCGATCGGCAATATCAAGTGCCGACCGGCAATCCCTCCTGGGCCGATAGCTTCACCAACAACCGGTGATCACATACCACTGCCGGTGGCCATTCTACTCAGCCGGTGGTGTCTCCCAATGTCCAGGGAAGCAATCCTGAGACTTTGGCAGTCTCCAAAGGAGTATAGCAAGGAAAACAGAGACAACCTATGCATGGCAGTGCACTTCCGAGCAAGACCCGAGCACGCGTGCATCGAACTCTCTTCCCGAAGCGGTTTACTGTTTTCTCTAGCTTAGTTAGTTTGTTAACTAATTAGGTGATTTGTAATAATTAATTAGCTAGGTTAGTTAATTCGTTATTTAATCTGTATTATTCTTTCGGTCCCTCCGAGCGAGGGTAAATTTGTAATAAGTGTGGGTGAGTGTGTGCATGTCTTCCAATCCCCACTTCTTTCTTCCCTTTTATTTACCTGCTTATGATGGTAGACTAGGGCATATTTAAATTAGCATACCTTATGCTATGCATGCGTGCATCCATACATTTGTCTCGCATGCACCGGGCTCGGTACATCATGCTAACTGCATTTGTACTTCAATT